ATTAGCCTTTCAAGTTCGATGATATTTCCATTCCAGCGGAACGAATTTATTCCGATAGAATGAAGATATGATGCCATCGAAGTGGAATTTTGTAATGTATTCTTTTCGAAAGAAAAAAAATGCCGATTTGTTAATGAAATTTAATCCGACCTGATATTAGAGGAAAGAATTAAATTCAAGCTCTCGCGCTAATATAGTACGATGGCTTCGATCATTAACATTCGGCGCCCGGATGTAAGTTTATCGAGTTATCCCAAGTAGGTCGCGGAACTGGTTTTGGCATTTTCGGTTATTTAACAAGCCACCGTCGAACTGAAATGAAAGAATCTTGCGCAAACGACGAGTTGCGAAAAAGAAAAAGAAATAGATCCTTTTTTACTTGTCAATAATACCAAATTCGGTGATACGTCTGAATATGCAATCATCATATCTGGATGTGCTTCCACGTGTCGCGTTGAAGTTGCGACGTTACGTATCCGTGGCGTAAACGTAGGAGGACTTTCCACTGTGTTTACATTAGGTGCTATTCTGGACAAAGCCAAATTGCCAATCACGCGGACGAGACACAGCCGATGGAAAATTCAGCGCGAACAGCTCTCATTGTCGTCGGAAACGCGCGGGCAGCATCTATCGCGATCGGTAGATTTCAATCTGCGAAGATTGCTCGTGCTGTAATTGGTAGATTCCTCAGTTTGCATCCAACTCGCGGGAATCTAATAATTACAGCTCGCGCGTGAATCAGGTCTCACAAGGCGAGGACTCCTCCGCTCGATCTTCATGAAATCTACACTACAATCTAAACGCTCGCTTTTATAATTCATCCAATTTTATCCGTCAACGCCGGAGACACCAAGGGTATATCCGATAGATCTTTCACATATCTTTGCGGTAAAAATTGCAAAGCCGTGAAAAAGTTGTCGCAGCAGTCCCCTCGGGAATGGAGCGAGGAATTTTGCCGCCTGCGAGAGCGAGCCTGCTTATTTTTTCATTCGATATGAACCCCCGTTTTTTTTTTTTCGTGAAGGGAGAATATTTAATTCCCAAGTCGGATTTCTGCCAATAATTCAAACGCGCGGGAATGATGGCGGTTATTTGCAATGTAACGCGGAACGACAATAAACACCGAGATGGTAATCGCGCATTGTTCACGACGTAATGAGATTCTAAAAGGATTACGCCGATCGTCGCGTCATCGGTCAACGGGTTACGCTCAACACACTCGTTCCATCAAACGAGCTTCGGTATTTCACTTTGCGAAAATTCCACGGTAAACTGTTTGCGCGATGCGTTTCGATCTGGCGAGGGAAAACAAGGTGTCCCGGTAATCTCCCCCCGCCTCCGCGCCCGCCCCCCCTCCCCCGCCCCGCAATTTTGCGTCCAATTAAGAATTTAAACGCGCGAGTGTGCATCAATTCCGGTTAGCGCAGATATTTTTCCGAACGCTTCCTCATCGAAACACTTGGCGGATTTGATAGGAACGTTACGCGCAAAACAGCCATCAATTGGAGGCTCTCTCCTCGAACGCAGTAATTCACCGTTAATTTACAAAATTGCGGAAAGCTTTCATATTGTCATTTCGCTCCGAATGTTTGTGCAACTGATCGACGCTATCATTTTACCGTTTTGCACTGATGGCAAATTGCTTGTTAGGGGCTCATTGTTGTCGTACAACAGTCGAGTTTATAATTACGACAATAACATCGGATGTAATTACTCCGCCGTAAGTAATAATATATCATTCGGGTACATTCGAAATATTCGCGCAAATAAACAACCGATTCCTGTCGCGCGAGGCGCAGCTTACCTTTTTCCCCTGGCACTCTGTATCAGACACACGGCGAGGCGATCACACTTGACACACGACTCTCTCGAGTCGTAAAAATTAACACAACTTCGACGTGGCTGCTCGTTAAAAGTGTATCCAGCGCGGCGATTTGTCGAATCGAAGTAAGTAATTAAATATTTCTCTCATGTTTGAGAAAAGAACGATAAATAACGATAAATACGTTGCCTCGTTATTTTTACATTATGGACCTTGATACTTCGCAGCGAAACGATTATTGCCGTCTTCGAGAAGATGAGACGCGAGAAGCTAAATAATAAAATGATAATAGTTTCCTTTACACGAAGATATCGATTGTGATATCGTCGTACGAAGCACAAGAGATTGGTTCAGCAGTTGCTTCAGTGGCAATTGCTACATTGCTGATGCACCAACTTTTTGGCAACTTACGTCCATTTCTACCAGCACAGATTAACTTTAATCTCGGTTTAACTCACTTTTTCTTTCTCTAATTCTTAGGACTAGGAAGAGATGAAAAGTAAATTAAACCGAGATTAAAGTTAATCTACATTGTTAGAAACATGGATATTAGAGACTTCCTTCGTGCACGCGGCCAGATGTAGTCGCGGCTACGTGAAACAATGCAAGTCGATTGTGTTCGGCACTTTAATATCCCGTAACAAGACTATACCGTGCGGCGCGTTATACGATATTAAAGCAGTTCGCGGCGACATTATTTGGGAGGGAGGACTCGAGTAATTTAGGGCACGTAATTAATATCCTTGCGGTCGGTACGTCCATACGTCTCGCCCACGTTGATCGCCATCCTCCCGCAGATACGCGACGTAAAAGCATCGCCCGTTATACGTAACGGCATATATATCGGCATAAGACTTGATTGAACGTTTCCCCCAGTTTTCGCGGCGACCGAGTTACCAGGTATCGACTTTCGGAACTATCGGTTACCCCGAGCTTTTCCCTAGATTGAATATTCAAATTAGTTGTTGCGTTGAAACCGCGAGGAATATATCGCTCTTCCGCTTAATTTCGAGCGGTAATGCCGCCGGTACCGCCGCGAGATCAAAGGTCTCGAAAAAGTGGTTACCGCGCTCCGCGGCAGTTTCTTGCTTTGTCCTCCGATCTCGCGATGCATTTCTACTTCTTCCTCAGTGCGCTCCGCATCCACTTACATCCCGCTGGAATCGCACAACCGCGTGCAAGTCGATAAACTCTGCGGCGAGACGCTAAGACGAGTTAAGGAACGCTTTGCATCTCTTATCTGAATGGATAAGCTTTGAAACGCAATTACTCTCTTTCCGTTTCTCTTTATTCTTCGGGACGTTCTTGCAAAAAGACCTCTCCATTTGTAGAATCTGAAGTCAAATGACAAACACACTTAACAGTAGACAGTGAAAAAAATTATCATTCGATGAATATATATCGAGAGAATACGTTAGGCCTGGTCTACAATGAGTTGTTAGTCAGAAGTCGGAACTATATGTTGATCCTTGTCCTTTCTGGGTGGAGGAAAAAGGACATATAGTTCTGACTTCTGACTAACGACTAACAACTCATTGTAGACCGGGCCTTACTTTTAGCGTTGCCAGTGGAAGTAAAAACTGAAAGCATCGCACATTGACGCCCGGTGACTCGGCTATTTGAATGCAGGCGGTTCAATATTGGGAAAGTAAATGGAACTTAGTTGCTTCCGAGATGGGTTGCTCGCATCAAGAGCCTTATTTTCTATCGCGCAACACAACGAGAACCGTATGACGAGTGTGTTTATAGCGCGAAAGAACCGAGCTTTATCATTCGCGAATGAATGCCGGGAGTAGATCAAAGGATCGAGATGTTACGGAAAATAGACATTTAAATAAAGGAATCGATTGAAGAAGCGAACTCTTCTATTTAATGCTTGGCAGTACTTAGATTCTTTGATCAATTTTCCAATTATATTCTGCTCCCCCTGAATGTTTGGCTGCAGAGTCTCCGCGTTATGAAATAATCATACATTTTTTTTACATTCCGTACCGCTTCCCAAAAAGATCGATTACAACAGGCAAATTGTTTTTTGCAACTTGTGTGAAAGCATGTTGCTTTATTTAAATATGACTTTGGCTGTAAACAGTAATATCACGGCAAAGAGTGAAGCCTGATCTACACTATGCTCTTTGGGTTCAGAAACATTCTATTTTATAGCCAATAAATACGTTTAAAAAATTGGATCAACTGTACAATCGTACATTGTCGATAAACGTTAATAACCGTTTTGTTCGCTTACGTAAAATAGAAAGTTTCACAAAGGGCACATTGCAGATCAGGCTTTGGACATTTCAATGATTCAATGTAATTCACACAACCGTTTAATCGTGTTGTTTAATTTATTTTTATGCCCCTTGCATCTTATGCGAGCCTTGTTTTATATTAACGGCGCGATACCGCATCTCGTGTTAAACGTGAAGATACCAATTGTTTTATCTTAAGGTGGCTCCTGCGCGAAGGAGCGGTCTGTATGGATGCTTTGGTGGGGCCTCTTTGATTTTTATAAATTCATATGACTTTTTTCGTAAAAAAATATCACTTAACGCATTATTGATCAAATGCATTGATATGCTAGATTATATATGCACATTTAAAAACATACTTAAAAATATATTGCCAAGTCTCAAAGAGCTGTTAAATTTTCTCAAAACATTGTATCTTTTGACTTTACTAATAAGTATTTGCTTGCAGAGGTCGGTGACCTCATATACTTAATAGCACATTCGGATCCTCGTGACATTTATTATGTTCATCTCGTTTTTGATTAAGACCTACTTTTTCTACAAAACAATATTAACCCTCAAAGTATTTCTGCGAGCGATCGGCCCGTAACTCCTATCCTAGTGAACACCAAGTAATAGTTACATATTGTTACATACAATAATATCAATATTATAATTTCCTACTTAACAATGTAAATGTAATGTAACATATGGGTGTTGTATTACATTTATCTTGTTGAGTAGGAAATTATAATATTGATGTTATGCAACTGTTACTTGGTGTTTACTGGAAAGTTAAAAAATGCAATTTTAACATTTTTTCTTTATTTTATTCCATCGGCGACCGGGTCTGAAATTTCGCGTACGTGATAGGTAAAATTTACAACTGCGACGTACTTAAATTGCTATTTTTTTTTTGGTCGGTTTATGCAGGAGCCACCTTAAATGCACGAAATATACAAGATACATAAGAAAACTCAACTCGTCCAATCGTAGCCTAGAATTTTTCTCGACTTAATCTTAATTTTTCCCGGCAATTTTTTTAATTGGTCTGTTTACTGCTTTTTCAAGTGTCTCTGACCTAATAGCCAAGAGACACACGATAAAAGCAGCAAGACCGAAAATGTACGAAAGAATTTAAGCAGTAAATAGTTAGGGAATCGACGGTGATGTTCGCGGTAATTTTCGAAAATGATCAAACCAGGTCAAACCAGATGGCAATAGGTCAGATATACAATCTTGTGTACCTTCTCTATTTAGTTGATACACGATATCGTTGCTCTTAGCAATACTGCTGTAACCATAAATACCAGCGGAGCGTTTACGTAGTTTTGTTAAACTAAAAGTAAGTTTTAACGGAAAATGTCAACGTTCAGATCGATTCTCGTCTATGATTTAAGGTGAGGCAAACAGTTATATATCATTTACTGTCTCCGTATAATTAAAAAATTACATTCGGTCAGTAAAAAGAACGTGTTGCACTTGCTCCAGGATCACTTGGAAAAGTCTTTGAAAAAAGTCACACTTTCCTCTATCATACGATTTCTCGTCCGCAATGGATGGACATGATTATCCGGCGACTGGCTATTTTTTGGAGTCCGACTCATCGTGCACGGCAGCTTCGGAGAAAATATCCATGCATGGGAAGTTGAAGAACGGCAGACTCGAGTGTAAAACGGGGCTTGAAGAAGACGAAAACAAACAGTCGCGGGATGACGAGTCGAAGCCGTCTACTCCGTCGTGCATCTCGAAAATGGATTACACGCTGCCGGAGTATCGCAATAACGTCACTCCCGCGATCGACAAGCTCGTGCAAATGATAAACATGCCGAGCTTGATAACATCTCCCGACTTGTCTAACGACTTGCCGACGAATCGCATCTCCTCGCCCAGTCATTGTCACGGTGATAACGAAAACGTCGCAGTTCCTATCATGGTTAGAGAACATCTGGATATATGCTTCTCGAGCCCGAAGCCGTTTGTCAGCGCTTGTAAAGCGGACAGCGCGCAATCGAGGAAAAGCGCGAAAGAGATCGATCCGTCTCAGATCGGACGGGAACCTATGTCGCGATGGCGAGAAATCGCCGATCCGAATGGCAAACCAATTGTGAATTCTCCACATTGTGAGGTAACAAGAGACGCTGTCATATATTTCGTTATGCAATGTCGTTTGTCTTACGATTAAACAAAAGCAATATCGTTTATGTTACGATTAAACAAATGCAATATCGTTTATCTCACGATTAAATTAAAGCAGATAACGAGATAATAAATATCTGCAGGATAGTATCTATGTATCCGAGGCGTCCTTCCTACTGATGAAGTCTAACAGGAATCGAAGGGCGCGGAATCTGCAAAGGGCTACTTTGTCTAGAAGATCGCGTAGAGATTCCAAAGATAGCGATTTCATTGAGTTTATGGGGTCCGATGCAGAATAACTGGAGGCTTGTCATTGATACACATGGAGGAGGAATAATGAATCAGCGAAAATCACGAAAACTGGCAACAGCGGACGACTAGCGTTATCTCTCATTGTTAATCTTTATGAATTAAATTTTTTATTTTGAAAAACGTGGCGTGTGTGCTCGATATATAATTATTTAATAACCAATTAATTTTAATTTAATCAGACCGTTTGACGTTAGGGCGCGGCATATTGGCGAGTAATTCGGTTTGCAGTAATATTCTTTTTTTTTTTTAATCATAGTTTACGCGCGCTTGGGACGGTTGGAGCTATCGGAATTTTATAATCGATATTTTATTGACGTTTTATACACTTTGTTTATTGATTCGAAAACGCACAGGCGAAACGCGAAAGAGATTAATAAAATTAGTAAAGTAATTGTAAATCTTTGCTTTAATATTTGTCCCGCTTGCACAACGTTATAATTCATATATATCCGCTTTGCACGTTCGCTGCACGCTTGTGACTATTTATGTCAGCGTGCCATTGTTTACTAATGTCTCGGGGCGCCTGCACGGTAGCGACGCTCTTTGCCGAGTCGGTGCCGAGCCACCGAGCGGCAAGGACGCACCGAGGAGACAATAATCTTGCAGCTCTCTCTAAATCAAGTAGTACTTTCGCAGTGGAATCTATTCTGCGCTCCGTAATTCCGTGTCGCGCAGGTCGAGCTACAACAGACGCGAAAATCCTGTAATACAAGTTACCCATCGATAATCTTTTTTTGCGAAACGATACGTACGATACTCGCTCGGCGGATTTTCGCGTTCAATATCAGGACAACTGACAAGATAGACAGTCGCGTTTTGTATCGAGGCGCGTTTCGGGGGCTCCGGGATATGTCGCCACCTCCTGGCACGAGCGAGCGTTCGTATCGATTGTATCGATTGTGCTGTCCAATTAGGTGGATTTCTGCGATTTCAATGTCGCGACGTGAAGGGCCAGCGGGCTCAGCTTTGGGGATCGCCATTTGTTCTACTCGCGAAAATCGATTATTATCGACGCGATACGTCTGACAAGAGCTCTCGCGACCACCCAGTTTCCAACATGTCCGAGGAAGCGAAGGATGTCCGTAGACCTGACGGATCAGACGGACATGATACGTATGCTTCTCCGGAGAACGATTCGTCGCCGAACACGTGTCCGACTGGACGTAGCAAGAGTCAGCGGGAAGGTGAGGAGACGACACCGATAATCGCCAAGTTACTACAGAAGTTTATACAGTGGAGACAGACGGACCGTTCTCCGATGGATGAGTCTCCCGTGCCGAAGACGACGCACGACGACACCGCGTCGCTACCCGACGAGTTGATGAAGCAAACAGATGAGCTCGACTTGTCCGCTGCGTCAACATCCACGAAGGCGGACACGACCCTGATGAACGTGGAAAGCACCCCCGAGAGAAGAGGTCCGCCAGCGCGAAATTCGCACGCCGAACACACGTGGATAAACGCGGAGAGGCCGCGGATTGCTGAACGCGACGAAACCTCGGCGGAGAACGAGCTGACATCCGATTACTCGACCATGGAGTCGACCGTGCCGGACAGCGACGGCTCGTCGTCGAAGGTGACGTCCGACAGTTCGATCGATCAGCTTCCGCCACGAGGAACGAAACAAAGCGACCGTTCGAGCAGAGAGGACGCGATCGTCGATTTCGCAGCGCCGAAGACAAAGGGGGCTTGTAATCCCGTGAATGTGGAATCGACTCGCTCGGCGACGCCGTCGTGCGAGCCGAGCGCCATTGGGGACAGCGAAGTGTTCGACGCGGACACGTTCGACCGGCTGTACAACCGAAACGTCGAGTTCGCGCAGCAATACGTAAAGCAAATGATGAGCAAGGATCAGGAAAGCGGTTGCTTTCGGAGCCAGTGGTCGAGAAACTTCATGAACCTGTCGACGCTGTGCCGATCGCCTCAACGATCGTCTCGACGATCGCCCTCGCGATCGCCCTCGCGATCGCCTTCGCGATCGCCTTCTCCGTCGCCTTCGCGATCGCCTTCACCGTTGCCTTCACGGTCGCGTTCACCAACACCTTCGCGATCGAAAAATTCCAAGGAGAGGACTCGAGGCTACGCCGGTATCAGGGCTAGTTCGCCACTGCGAGAAGACACGGCAACGTCAACGGCGGACGTTCTGAAAGAGGACAGTCCGATTCCTAAGCTGCGCTTCGCCAGGAGAAAGAGGCAGGTCCAGATACCTGAAAGAGCCAATCAAGGTAAACGCGTTTTACCTTGGCGGGAAATGGCCGATCGATGATGGTGGCGTGCTACGTGGCAATAACAACGATTTCAACCTTGAGTGCTATACGTTTTTGCATTGTTTTCGGCCCGACCGACGTCGCGAGATATTGTCCGCGGTGGTACCTCGTTGTCGCCCACCTGTTACCTATTCTCTCGTAAATCGTTATCGATTCGCGCGAATTGAAATATCTCATTTTTATTTATCATGCGTTGTCTTAGCGTGCGCTAACACAGATAAGGCAAAGTACGTTTATAGCCAGAGAAAGAAGGAGAAAGAAATGGCGAGGCAAAACGGTAGCTTTGTAATCGACTTTAGCAATCGGTTGCTAACTAAAGGCACGTCTCGAGGTATTTTGCGATTAAAATTTCCTCGAGACGTGTTATAATTGCTTCTGTGGAGGGTTCTCTTTTCGCGGTAGGTTCGTTAAGTCATTACATCTTCCACAGTTGTCCCGGTATCGATGCCAGGACGCCTTTATTACGGAACGACTTTAATTTAGACTGTACAATTGGATGAGGCCCGACCACAGGCTTCTATACCTAGACTGCTAACTCCTCAAATTCAAGTGATTCCAGTTCTAACCTACAAATGTAGCCGCACACGTCACGAAAGGTCCCGGTAATTGCACATACACGCGCGCGTACACATGTGCCCCAGCATGTGTTACAGTATAAGTCGTGGGAGAAACCGCTGACCAAAATATTGTACACCAATGCCCACTGATGCCCAGTGGGCATTACTTTATCTTATTATCTTATTTTATCGTTATAATGCCCAAACTATTGCCCAAAAATGCCTAGTAATGCCCAGTAATGCCGCAAATACGTACACCACAATGCCCTCAGCGGTTTACCCCTCAGTATAACTAGTATGCCCACTCTCTGTCAATTTAACGGACTCGTACATACATTTTGAACTTCGCACGCGCCGCAAGGCTGTCCTCGACGGACGGAAAAATCCGGTTTTTGCACGTCTATTGTTTTCTCAGCTGCTCATCCGCTGCATATCTCGCCTGCCCGAACACTTAAGTAAAGATAAATCGCTCCATGCGTATGCGCGATAGGCGCGATTAATGATTTTACGTTGCGTAATCGCCTTGAACGTCGTAAATGAACGGTGAGCGCTGGCGTTGCGCAATCAGCTTGCATAATTACTCGAAATTAAACGCACGGACGCTTTTATCGCATCTCTCTGGCGCGCCGATCTCAGGGCTGACTTTCTTTCGCGCGCGCGCGCGCGCCTCGCCGCGACATCGCGAGAACGCGAGTGCAAAGTGGAACAAATGGGGAATGCACTGGAACGTATTTCACACCGCCACGCAGCGAGAAAATGAAAATGCGCGATTCTGGTCCGCTGCGTAATTCTTGGCGAACGCCGACCGCGATTTAAAGCGAGCACGAGAAGACTCGAAACCGTAAATCACGGGCACCCGCGCGGGCACGAAGCACGAAGGAAAAACGAGATTATGCGTCTTAGCGTTTGCAAGCTCCTTCGTGTAACATGTACATACTCATTAATTCTTACGAAGGGGCAGGGGGGGGGGAGAGTGGAGCGCTTCGTTTTGCGCGCAAAGTCGTTCGATCAATATTTAGACACGATCGCGTCGCGCGCGTGTGTGTTTGTGCGCGCCGATTTACCCAACGAGTCGCTTTGTACCGCCGCTTGTATCTCGTAAAAAAGGACACTTAATTGTCACCTGGGATTACGGCGAGCGGCCCGGCCTGTAATTAATGCCATTACCACGCGAGATCGGGAGATAATCTGCCGCTCTTATGCAAAGGCTCGCCCGACGAAGGGAGAAACTTTTCACGCGAGACTCTACGTTTAACAATTTTTGCAAAGGGAGAAACAGTATCGCGGCTTTAAGATACTTTGTACATTTGTACACGTACAATTTTATACGCATACCTTCTCACTATGAAACGCTTTGTCAACAGATGTCCCGTTTCCACCGTCGCACAAAATGACAGTGGCAGAGGTCTTCGACGAACGAACGGGGTCTCCGCGGCCGGAGGTCCTGAAGCAGCACTTTATCCTCGAAGGCAGGATCGACGAGGCCGCGGCCCTTCGTATAATCAACGATGGAGCCGCCCTCCTACGATCGGAGAAGACTATGATAGACATCGAGGCTCCGGTCACCGGTGAGTCAAAGCTCGGCTTATTGTTAGTCTTGTTAAGTCTCTCGCCTCTCGAGTCCTCGACTCCGGGTCAGACCGACGACTTCCGGCGAGCGAGGCCGCCTTGATTAATTGGGTATAAGATATGCGCGCTTTAATTGAAATCGAAAATTCGGCCCGCCGCTTCGGTACCCGGCCGTTCCTTAATCAATTATCGTTGAATTAAGTTCGTCGCGACGGCCTCCTTTGTGGCGTCCGCTGATTGTTCCAGAGGCGCGGAATAGGAGAACGTAATAAATCCCACCCTTCGGCTACATCGGATCGATTCGGTCCTATTTCCTTCTACGCCCCCTTTCACGGGCCTCTTCCACCGGCTCGCTTATCCTTTTACGCACGTACCATAGACAGTTATTACTTTGCCCAACGCCGCGATACGAATTTTATTAATGGGATTAACGGAGCCGTTCGTGTCACTTCGAAGAATTTCGCCGGTTCGTTACGAATCCACGTCCGACGTGGAGCAGTTTCGCATAAAACAATATTTTCCACGACGTCTGATTTGCTTTTGATCGACGGGATAATTGTTCCGTTACGTTGGAACCCCGAGGACTCGGGGAGCTGTGAAGTATCGGCTTTAACTCCCTGAGAACGTTATAAACGTCTTCGATAATTGAGAGATCAATTAACATAAATTACAATTAATTAAGGAGCCAGAAGTGGCATCGATTCTACCATCGATTTATCCGTTGGTTTATTCGAGAATGCATTTCCTCCGCGGCGAACATAACATCTATCAAATCAATATGTCGCGTGCACGCGTGCCCGTGGCAGCCGCATGCTGCTGCAGCATATTTTTCGCCCATATGCTCGTCGCGTCGGAATCGATGGTCAGCGAATCGGCCTTAGATTTATTTCACGTCGATCGAGCCGGAGCCGGTCATCCCTCTGTCCGCTCGTTTCGCACGCTTTTTCGCTCCTTCGGTGTCGTTCGCGCGTCTCGCGCATCCTCCCGCGGCGTAATTCATCTTCCCGCCCGATCCTCCGCAGCAGAGCCACTCTACCCCGCCGTCCTGCCCGCGTTGCGGATTCGCATTCGACGACCAGACGCCTGGTGCACCGCAATTTCTCTCTGTCGATCCCGCGCGCTCTTCCCTTTTTCTCCTCCCCCGCACCCTCGACTGCGACACGTGTGCCAAAAGCGAGCTTCCGGGGAAGCGGCTTACAGTATCGGCTATTATCCACGACAAAGCGGCGACGAGCGCGGGGGGGAAGGCGTCTATCAGGCACACACTCAGATTCGTTCCGAATTCCCTCGACAGTCTCGGAATTTATGAGAATTTGACCGAGAGGAGGGGCGCGGGTAGACGCGACGTTTCGGTCTGCGAAATTCCGTCCTGCCTCGAGCTTCGTTAACTCTCTTGATGAACTGCGGCGTATACTGGAAAAGGAGGAGTTTAATCCGAAACGGGAAAAGAAAACGCGGGGCGCGCTGGCCTATCGGAAAATTAATTAACGGTTACCGCGTGCCTCGCATGGAAGATTGATATGCGTATTTCCGAAATTATTTGCCACGAAAGAGAGTTCGCGATTATCGCGTTACCTTAAGAAACAGAAGCGTTTTTTTCCGATCGACACTCTTTCGCGCGTTTTTTTTTCTCAATTTCTCCTGCGCAATTAGTGAACGAATGATTTTAATTAAGCGCGACGTCTTGGATCGATGCGCAGTCGCGAGGTGGATCAAATTGCGCCTGGATAATTGGGAGAAGGACGGGAGGCATGTTAGAGTCTTCCTTTGAAGCGACCGGGTTTCTTTTCGCTCGTACGGCTTCACGACGCGCTTCTTTGATCGACGTATAACCCTCGATTGTTCTCAATCACCGAACTAAATCCTCACACGAATAAGTTGTTCGCAGAAACGAGGTCGGTCAATCGGACGAAGCCGATTTACGATCGCTTAGACCTCTCGTTTCCAGCGCGGCTGTGCATCAAAACTACGTGTTTCAATTATTTAATTACTTAAGCGTCTTTGATGTTATTAATAAACTCGACCCTTTCAGAATAAAAGTATTTTAATGGCAATCGAGTTGAATCACAGTTGAAGTTAATACCTTCGTCTTAGTAACGGCGTTCTATCGGACCGTTAATTAATTAACGTCCAAGAATACGTTTTATATTTAAAATACTTTAATCGCTTATTAAATTCTCTCTCTCTCTCAATTTTTCTCATTTTCACTCCCACATGCTTCTAATTTCGGATTAAAGCCGAATGATCGCTCTTTTTTTCACACGACCAATAACTAACTTATCGCGAACATATCACTCTCCTCGGACAGCAAGAGCAACACCTTACGAGCTTAGGATTAAACTGTTATGCTTTCTCCCACACTTCTGATAATCCAGAGAGGTAGTGTGCGTGTGCAATAAACCGAGATTAGTGCTAACCGGCGTTGTTAAAATTTCCCGTGAAGAATTTCTTTCCGGACGGCCCGCGGCTTCCACAAGCGAACTTCGCGGATATTCAAATTAATGATAATGAGTTGCTCGAATGTTAGCCGAATGGGATCCCCGTTAGCGATTAGTGCGTTTCTTTACGTCGTGAAGAAACAGCCATTTTCACACCCATAGAGCGAAGTGGCTCGTTTTCAGCTCTCACGTGTCCCCCCCCCCCCCCCCTCCTCTCTCTCTCTCTCTCGCGCCAGCGTTATCGGACGAGACGAAACAGCGTGTTACGATAAATTGCTTCGACGTTACATTAATATTCGTTCGCCTTTTTTTCCCTCTCGTTCCTGCAAATTTCTTTTGCTCCAGAAATAAGTTCCTTCGTTACGCGCGCTCGTAAAGCTTCACTACTGTCCTCGCGCTCGCTTGGAAATGGAAGAAGTAGTGATTGGAAAGTTATCGCCGATTCTGGAAGTTAATACTGATCGTTAAGCAAAGAAACGTTGCAAAGAGAAGGGAGCTTAGGCGATCGCTGCAAAATGGCTTTCTTTTAACGCAGTTTAAACACAATTTACTTGTATTATTGAACGTAATTTTATATTTAGCGTTAACGTTTATTTTATATTTAATGTTATCTTTTTAATGTTGACTTTGTAATGTTAAACAACGAATGCGAGCCTCTCCGATCTCTCCGCATTCGATATTTCAACATCTTCGAGACGCCGTGGATAAATGAGCAACGGACAAAGTGTTTCGAGTCACCATAACTATGCTGCGCAATTTTGCGGCGAGTCCAAATTTGAGTTTGCCCGAAATAACTTCCGTTTGTTCTCTAAGCGATCCGGGTATCGTTTTGCGAATCTCCACTCGCGGCACTTAAATAAAGATTTAATCCCGGCAGCTCAAACATCGCCGGGAATCATTTGGTCGTTTCAGGGCGATTATAAAGCCTGATTTACAATGTGCTTTTTGCGCCTGGAAACATTCTATTTCAGATGAGCGAGTCGAAACGCTTAAAAAACGTGTCGACAACGTACAATCGTACAATGTGTCAACTTGCAAATTTTTTAAACGTATTTATTCGCTTGAGAATAGAATGTTTCTAGACACAAGGCGTTGTAGATCAGGTTTATATTTGCACGCAATCAGAGATCTAATCCGCCCCGTTACAGTCGCGCGCTTTTAGGTAGCGGTCATCCGGAAAGAGAGCGAACCATTCGAGCCGAAGGAGGCTTATCGATATCAACGTCGGGGAAATTGATTCGCGTGATTTTTTCTCTCTCCTCTTCTCCATTTTTCCACAACCTCGGCGCGGAAAATCGAGAGCGTGAGACTCTCGAGGCTCGAAAGGGAACACAGTTGTTATCTAACGGCGCGCTATCTTAATTGTCTTCCTGCCTTGTCGCCGCAAAATTGATACGCAGCCGGAAACATGGTTATGCGAGCGTCGTGTTGACCGAACTCGGGTGCCGGCTGTATGTAGGAACATAAATTATTCATACAAGTGTGAGCGGCGCGGGCGGCGGGGAGGAGAGGCGGCAAGTACGGGATAGAACACAGTGGCAATATTGTTCGGCCTCTGTAAAGCAGCCTAAAAAACATTAAATGTTTATTGTCTGTCGGCGCTGCCACATTGATGTTGCCCGTCTAAATATTGAACTTTGCCGATAACCGGCGCGGGATGAGAGCAGAAAAGTACGCGGTATAAATATATTGTACACGCTCGGTGTAGTAGCCGCATCTCTGATCGCGCGCTTCTCTCGGTCGCGCACAATCGCGCCCGCCTTCTCTAATTAACAACGCGAGACCTAACCACCGCGATCGCGCCGGTTCCGAATCGAAATTTTGGTACTAGTTTGGCTTTTAAGACTAATTTACACTTCACCTACCTAGCTGATCTATACACCTTCATAGACCAGCAATAACCTACTTTGATGGCATTATATTTTTTTACTCCTCCCTTGAATCTTTAATTCGAAAAATTTACCTTAATTCCTACTTAAAAGGGACCTACTTTAATGCAAAATTGGCAAAAGTAAAAATTTCCGACGCTATCAGTTTTAAAGTTGGAGTAAATTTTGTACTTGCACCTCTTTTACTGTGTTAGGTCCTACTAGAGACCCTGTAATCAGAGACTGGCCATAAGAGTTCGTCAAATTTCCGCGAGTGAGAGAGAAACATAGGCTACCTCACTCTTCTACGATCGTAAAATCGTAGGTAATTCGGAATTTGACGAACTCTTACGACCAGTCTTTGATTGCAGGGTCTCTAGGTCCTATTACACATATAATAGAATTAAAGGTTCAACATAGGGCCAAAATTTCGACTCGGGGTGGCTCGGTGCTTGATACGCTGGTCGTAAATTTCGGATTACGATGGAAGCGGAGGCCTCGCCGAGTACGGCGTACGACATTCTCGCGCAAACATCTCGACGGCCGGGACTACCGCCGAGTTTCAGAGTGGAAACGCTAGTTCCTTGGCAAAAATGCGCCTCGCGCGCGCGTCCGCGGCTCATTAAATTCGGTCTAAACGTACGGACGCACGGAACCCCCGGGGATAATTGCTTACACGTTGATTACACCCTT